GTGACAAGTAAAAGCCCGGCCCGAGCCCGGCCCGAGCCCGGCCCATGAACAGGTCTAATCAGAGCAATGACAAGGAAGATGGCAATTACTCATTCATAGATTCACAGATAGCAAACTGCTTTAATGATTCTTTTTTGAAGGACAAAATTAACAAGAAACAGAAATAGAGCAATGACAAAGTAGAATATAAGTTTCTACTTTATAATTTTATGATCAGAGTTCCATATAAAATTTACCTAGAGTTTAGTTTTATTTTTATGCTCAAGGTACCATATAAATTCTAGATATTAACTTTCCTGTTTTTCGTATTGCAGGTCACTATATTGTGGTATGTGGCTATGATGCAAATAGAGATGAGTTTGAAATAAGAGACCCAGCCAACTCTAGGTACCATTTCCTTTTAGTTTCCTCAGTATTAGATGCCACCATGTTTCATTATTGATTGAATTGATGTTTTTTATGATGTATTATGCGGAAAAATTCTAGTATTTTCTACTAAGTTGTCACCTAATGATGTGCATCTTGACATCATTACCATTAGATGTGTTTGGATTCATACTAGAGAAGAGTTCAGTGACTTCTTCGCCGATGATGTGATTAAAGGATGGTCTAATGTGGTGACCTTGTTGATTCATGGATGGAGTGTAATGTGGGCCTTGTTTCCATCTTCCTATGCTGTGGTTTCAATGCATGTTGTATCAGAAAGCGAGGTCTACAGGGTAAGAAAGGATGGTCTAATAAATGTTTCTTTTATTAGTAACTTGTAGAAATTTTATTGTTGGAAATGTATAGAGTCAAAATGCAAGATGTAGACTCTCTTGTAAACACAAGGTCTACAGGTCTATCGAGCTAGCCCACAGCTGCTCCCCTACTACCATGATAAGCCCCTTTTACAGTAGAAAATTTTGGTTGATCCTAGTGGTTTCCTCCCTACTACAACATTTTAAAATAATGTTTCAAAAGGTGGAGAATGAGGAGCTAAAATATTCTGATGCTGACTCCCAAGTGTAATGAGATCTCATTCTTTCAGGAGAAGCATGGATTGATATGAGATAAATTACAGAGCTATAAAAAATGTATAGATGAATTAATCATCATATAGGCAAAATTTTCTGATGATTAAGTCATCTATACATTTTTTATAGCTCTGTAATTTTATATGGAAGAATGTACAAATGAATTAATCATCATATGGCCAAAGACTCATTAGGAGCTTAAAAAAACTAATTGCATGCCTCCAAATCCTCTAAAAATATATGGAAACTTTTAATGTGAAATAGGGTGTCAAAACCCCTAAATATTTAAACAAATTACAGACACATGCAGAAAGGTAGACTTAATCCTGCTGTTGTATTTGGAAACTTTTAATGTGAAATCGGGTGACAAAACCCCTAAATACTTAAACAAATATTGGGACATCTTGATGTGGTGGAGAGAAATGTATACTGCTTTACCTTATCTTTTTCAAAAAACGTAGAGTTAATCTTTAACATGGTCTTGCGATGAGAACCTTTAATGCATGTTCTTTGCATAAGGCACCTCAAAGTGTGTGAAGCATGTTCCTACTAGGCTTGATCATGTGGGCATTTTCCTTAACCAATGCTTAAACTTCAAACACCTTCTACATAGTTGTTGTAGAATAAGCACTTAAGTTTTTCAGTTGAATTAGTGTTAGGGTTCCACTGAACAAATGCCCCTTGATGTCATGTAATCTTAACCTTTGGATAATGCAGCCTAAATAATTTCTTGACAACAAAGTTACAGGGAATAAGTTAGGTTAACAATATCCATTCTTTATTGCACACCTGTGTTATTTATTTATTTGTTTGTTTGTTTTATGTCTTGGTCCTTGATAAGTGTTGCTTTCAAGGACATTCTGCTATAGATTTCTTACAGCCTTCTTAATCTATTTCCTTCTTGTGTACTTATAAATTAGCTATTCCTTCACTGGCATTTTTTAAATGCTATATGAATATTTTACAGTTTATATTGTTCATAGCATGGCTGGTGAACTCGTTGATCATCTTTATGATTTTTTAACTTGTGTTTGTTAGTAGTGTCTTGAAGGATATAATGGTGTTAACTTTTATAGTTCCCATAAGATATTTTCACTCTCCTGTGCTTCAAATTAGATACTTACCTTCTAAAGCATTTATCGAAATGGTCTTCTTCTTTGACCTCAAGTTTGAAACTGTAGACTTTACAACAAGATTGCTCGCTCATACCCATTATTGTCCTTCAAAATCATAACTGATACAACATACTAGAAAAAGACCATAACTACAGTATAGATATTCAAGCAATTGAGGCAGAGGTACATTGTTTCCTCATGAAAATTTCTCTGAACCTGCATGCTCTTCTAATTCCTTTTTTTACTCATTATTTTTGGTAAGGTGGAGGGATGATATATGGACATTCTTAAATGGGGGGTGCTGGCTGATTAGTTTCACAAGTCTCTTGCGTAATGCCATGCTCCATAATTTCTTTCTTATTTCCCCCTTTTACCATGATGTTACTTTCAATTTATTCTTCTACATTCTGTATATAGAGAGTGCCTTTACTATGGGATCTGCTTTACACATTCCGTGTAAATATATTTATTTGCCTGGTAGGAATGGCAAAAATGATTGGGAAAAGAAAACTGATACTTAGGTTTGTGGTTTCTTCTCCATAGAATTGGGGATGCTTGTAACAGTCCTATATTATTGAATTAATATTTTTTTTTCAATTACCAAAAAAAAATGAATGATAAGAAGCCATACTGCCACCTATATAGTGGCATACATATGGGGAAAATGCCATTACTTAGCATTGTCATAAACATTTAACCCATTCACCTTGGACCACTGATAGATATTTCAACAGTTTAAAAGAATTATAAGCATCCAAATTTCAACAGTTGAAGATGGAGTTGTTCCTAGAGATAACCCCCAAAGTGCCCTTTTCTAAGTAAGATTCATAGTTTATAAGTTCTGGCTTCAAGTTTTAACTACAAGGAAGGTATGGAAAGTTACTTTGGCATACACTAAGGTATGGATTTAAGGTTTTGATGCAAGATTAGGAATAGCCTACCTTTCAAAGGTTGTTTTTAAGGTAAGAATCATGCAATATATATGTAATTATATGGTTAACGATCTTTTACTTTTGAAAAATTATAGTTACTAATTTGACTAATTTTTTTTTGTTTGTATTATTTTTTTTCTTGCAAATTGTAGGAGAAAGAGAATGTAGATGATGTCAAGATGAAATACATTTTTTATTTTCTTAGAGTAGGAAGTGAATTGTTTTTTGTATTTTTTTATTCCATATGTTTTTGTAGATGGATTATTCTTTTCTCTTTGAATTTGTATCAATTAATATGAAACAATATTCAGAAACAATGGTTTTCTTTTAATAGATATGTGAATGAATTGTTTAGATAGCAAATTAAATGTTTGTATATATGTTTATATAAGCTTTGCATATGATAAAACAACTTTTCAAAACACAAATAAATGATCTTTAGAGGTAGTCACAAATGCCTCTAAATAAGACCAAATAATACTTTAGTTGCAATTTTAAGTGTTGCTATAAAGATTAAATAGGATTCTTAAAATTATTTTTAGAGGCAAATAAATTTGCCTCAAATTTAATTAAAATGCCCTAAAAATGTATTTTTAGTGGCATTCATACATGCATCTGTAAAATGCTTTTAGCATCAGTGTTTTAGAGGTAAAATAATGTGCCTCAATATCTCATTTTTGGAGGCACCTATCAGATGTACCTCTAATTACAAGTCAAGTGCCTCTATAACATTTAGAGACAATCACCTGAGTGCCTCTAATTCTTTTTAGAGGCATTTTTTCTATCTTTGGAGGCATTTTTAATTTGTTGCCTCTATATGTGATTTTTCTAGTAGTGCAAATGCACTGCAATGTACTAATGAAGAGATGATGGGTCAATGAAATCTATTGCTTCTATCTTATGCCATCTTAGAGTCTTAGAGGCAGGATATGTTAGATTCAAACTTCAATTTAATCATTGAATTTCATGCTTCTTATCTGATAAAAAATGCAAGAACATGTTAAGAAAATTTGGACAAAATCAGTTAAATACTACAATTTTGGGGTATTTTGAGCAAAATCAATAAAATACGCAATAAATATATAATATGAATTTACAGAATTTATATAGATTAACCATATATAAAGGTCATTCTTTGGTGCAATGGTCAAACTGACAAGAGTGAAAGCATATAACAGCTACTTTGTTCAAAGAATGCCAGAGGTTAGGTTTGTACCCAGTTTACCCCTTCCAAGACCACAAATAGCCAAGACTAAAATTGGTCAATGGTCCTTTTTGGGCTCATTTGTAACTGTAAGAAAATGGCCTACTATTGTCTTGTGATCATGGGGTAGCCGAGGCTACTCATTTTATTGTAAAGTTTATTTTTATTTAATAAAAGATTTCTTGTATTACTGATAAAAAAAACAAATAAACACTACTGGAAAATTCACCTATAGAGGTGACTATAACTGTCTCTAAAAGCATAAAAACTGCCTCTAAAGGTTATAAAAGACGGCCAGGTGAGTGCCTCTAAAAGCCCTGTCACTAAATGTTTTAGAGACGCTTGGTTGCTGGTAGGACTTTTAGAGGTACATATGACTGCCTCTATTGCACTGACACTAAAAGTCCTAATAGAGGCAGTTAAAAGTGCCTCTAAAAGTTCAACTTAGAGGCGCATTTGAACGCCTCTAAATGAATTTGCGACAATTTTATGTGCCTCTAAAAGGAATCGAAGAAAAGGAAAAAAAGATATATGCTTTAATATTTAGAGGAACTTTTGGCCACCTCTAAAAAGGTTCCAATTTTTTAAAAAAAAAGTGCAATATATTGTGAATATTGCTACATAAAGATTCCAATTGATACACCTATATGAAAATATATTCAATCAAAACATTAAACCTGTATGAAAATATATATATATATAATCCAAAAAGGTACACTTTATCCCTAAAATTCCAATTGACTTTTATCATCATTGTAAGAACAAAAAAAAAAAAAAAACACAACATTCAACCCTCATTATATTCATTCTTCCTTTTGAGCAGATGTCTTCTTTTTTTAACAACCTACAAATCAAATATATAGTAGTCCAAAAGAAATTCCTTTTAACATCTCAAAAAAAAAAAAAGCTATTTGTAGTCTTCATCCAATCCTTTCTTCCTCTACAACCTGCAAAGAAAAGCAATAAAAGGAAAAAAAACAAAGTAAATAGGTATAATTTTTGTAAATTCCATTAACTATCTAATCACATATAGCAACAAAAAATGAAATAAAAATAATTATATGTAAATTTGTAATATTTACCAAAAACGAAGGCCAAGCAATAGTAGTTCCAACAGATGTTCCAATTGTCTTATGACATCCATGAGGTCTTATTAAAGGCTCCTCACAAATACTACTTTTTTACACAGGTCTTTGCTTATAACAACTGCTTTGGCCACAATTTCTTGCTTCCTTAAACTCTTCAAAAAAATCTTAGTCATATCCTACAATCAAATTTCTTTTATCAAATTCAAGCCATCAAAATAACATAAGCAAATAAATATACTTCTCTTTGCATCATGGATTACACAAGAGAGGGATTACATTTCTTTGCATCATGGATTACTTATGCTGTAAAGTTCAAAATATGGCAAAATTATATGAATGATTTAGCTACTTATGATATAGGTTATGGAGATATACATGCAACCAATTATACACCTAATTTAACCGGATCTAATATATATATATAGATCCACCCCAATCTAACCCAATATGATCAAGTCTGATATAAAGTTGGTTTCAATACTGTATGTTCATTGAAGAGTCATTAGCTCAAGGTTCGATTTAGGAATATGCAATTTGATCCAAAACATTTTTAGCCCATCAATTCAGCAATATTGATCTTCTCAAGAAACGGATCAAGTTGTACATCAGAATTATGTTATTTGACAAGGGCTAAACATATAGCATAATAATAAGGGGTGAAAGCACATATTCTATCTTCAAATTAGATTAAACAAGTATGACTGTTATCATATATCTTATATATCATATATCCTCTGTTTTTACTTTTATAGATTAGAAGGGAAGGTGGCACTGATCACAGGAGGTGTTAGTGGCATTGTTGAGTGCACAGCAAGATTGTTCAGCAAACATGGTGGCGAAGTTGTAATTGCTGACACTCTAGAGAAGTTGGGCAATTTAGTTTACAAGGAGCTAGGCACCACAAATGCTACCTATGTCCATTGTGATGCTACTAATGAAGACCAAGGGCCCGTTCGTTTGCTCTAAAGTTTGACATCTGAAATTGTAATAATTACATTAAGAGGTATGTTGGTATTGGTGAACTTTTCTTTCCTCTGAACTCTGAATGCAGAGAATGTTGTTCTGAATTCTAAACTCTGAATTCTGAATATTATCAAATATCTATTTTGACCCCATATATTAGAGTTTTTGTTTGCTTTTTGGGGGTATCATTGGAAAACAAAAAGTTGTATGATTGCACTTTAAGAGATAAGAGCTAAGAGGAAATGAACAACAATTTTTCTCTTAAAGTTAAAAGAATCCTCTTAAGAGATAAGAGTTAAGAGGAAATGAACAGACTCCAAGTAAAGGAAGCCGTTGATTCTGTTTCCAAGTATGGGAAGCTAGACATAATGTTCAACAATTCAGGTATAAGTGATGAAACCAGCAATTCATATAACTTAGTTCATTGATGCATCGGTCCTTGTACATCTTTTTTTGGCATATAAAATTCCATCAATCCATGGACATCAAACTACTGATGCATCAGTCCTTGTACTCCCTTTTTTTTTTTTTTTGCTAGGAAAATAAATATACAATATAAGTTTACTCTAACTCATTTTTTTTTCTTCCCAATGAATCCTCACTATAATTATTAGCAAAATATGGATTAGGTGATGTGGGTTGTTCCAATTCCTTGCCACATTTTATGTACCTAAACCTGTATCTCTTGAGAAGTATTCATCTAAAGTTGCACTCATTAGTTTTCTGTCTTTTTTTTTCTGTGACTGTATGCTATGCACATTTCATACCTACCTACACTGGCCTGGTTCTCTTGGTTGTCTCTCTACCTATGAGATGCTCTGTTAAGTGATGGTTATTATGTTGATTGCCATATAGATTCTAGCTGTGCTTATTATTTTACTACAGAATGTTCATCATGCAGGTCAACCAATGCCAGGTGATGAGCAGGAGGATGTCGTCATGACCAATACTCAGACCATCCTTTTGAATATCACATGCCCATTAAGTGGAAAGCATGTTATTGAACTGGCAGATCCTGTACGCTGGTATTATTTGATTCCCTCCAAAAGTGCCTCATGACTTTTTTTTTTGTAATGGATTCACATTGGTTTTACTATGGTCAAAGAGAAATGGCTAATAATTGAGATTTGAGAATAGGTTTTTATTTTGTTCATTTATACAAGCAATTATATTGTAATTTTGAAAATGCCTTTATTGGAATTGCCAACCAATAAACAACATACAGTAAAAAAATGTTCATGGGAATTGGTTTCCTACATAGCCACACAAAGGAGTTTCTACAGGCTGGTAAATTACATAACAGATTATATTGCAGTCCATATGTTTTTGTCGGTTTATGATAGAAACAAAAGCTGCTAATGAACACTGAGAGATCAGACAACTGAACTTGTCTTTTCATGCCCAAAGTAACATTTACGCCTCTAAACTGAACTTCTTGCTATTTATTTTCTTATACAACTACATATTTAAAACTTGGTATATGTTGTCAGGCTCAGGTTGAATCGGGCTTGAATGATGCCTCAACCCCAAGTCTTGCCCAACCCCAGCTTTGCTTTGTTTATTTCTAGACCATATCATCCTCCACCTATTTGGTGAATTTCCGTCCTAATAGATCTGCCCCACATCATTTTTTCCTTTGAAACTCTTTTTCACCACTGCTACTAAATCAAATGGGCAAAACTGTCCATGAGAAATCAAGACCCAACTAATTTCCTACATATAATTTTCCTTTGAAACTCTTTTTCACTACTGCTACTAAATCAAATGGACAAAACTGTCCTTGAGAAATCAAAACCCAACTAATTTCCTACATATAATATGTAGGAAAAAGGTTTCCTAATCAGATCAGGCATGAAGCTCCCCTACACAAGCTCCTATGGCCAATCCAGACCTTCCATCAGGTAGGCCGTAGGGGACCCACTGTAGTTAGTAGCCACATATTCAATTCCTCATTCCAATTCAGCCTATTTCCAACCTTGTATTGGAGTTTTGGTCAGTAAATGGTAGTCCTTCATATTTTTAGCTTTTAGGTTTAAAAGTTATCCATCAAGGGGGCTTTGTTTTGAGCACAAGGCAAAGCCTTTGGGCCAAAAGTTTTTCCCATAAAAATGGGTGGGAAGACCAGAAGAGGAATAAGGGAGTTTCTTTTCAGCCCCAAAATATGTTGCCACATGGAAGATTCCTGGGTCATTTAGTGAAGCTCACTAAATGGTATGACTAGGAACCCACTCCATATGCATGCATCCAAGCAGAGTGCTCCTTTTTTCTGTTCTTTTCTTTTTTTTCCTTTTGCTTTTTACAAATGGCTTATTCATTGAGCCACTGTAAACATTTTATTAAACAGAATTTTCAGCTGTGTTTGGATGTTTTTTGTGCAGTATGAACTGCAAGCATATCCAGAGGCGGAAACCCTCAATGCCCTGTTGTGGGTATGCCAACTTACTACCCAATTCTAACTGTGCTTATCTTGTAGTAGCAGGTATATCAACCTGCTGCTCAAATCTAACTATTTTGTATTCCTACATCAGTAAATTATTTTGTATTCCTATATAACCTTGGTTGTATTCTGTTCCAAACACAGGTTGTCCCAAAGTTCTGCAGGCAGGAAGAGTGGTGTGTGATCCCTTATTACTAGTTGAAATTGACGAAGCTCGCACGGAAACTACTGCACAGCCTGGGTGGAAAACTGTAAACTTATATTGTATATTTATTTTCCTAGCAAAAAAAAATATAATGCAATATATAAAATAGAAAAATTGAGGGCATGACAATGAACCCAATTTTAGTTTCACCCCATAAAGAGTTTTGAAATTTTTGAAGTCCTATAGGAAAAAAATAATATTGAAATGGTTTTGGAATTTACCTTAGGTCTATGACAAGAAGTAGCCGTCCCTTTTCTAGATAATGGAGTCTACAAGTGACAAATATTATTAATTAATATATAATTACAAGACCATTTTCTTGAGAATTCCTAACAGAAGAAAAAAAACTTTATAATGAGAAGGATGTAGTAGTTGATCTTATGCCCCATTCTTAATATATACACAAATCATATTCAAATTTTATCGGTAATGAATATAGTTACAAGAGAAGCAATGACTTCACTTCTAAATTCTGGTTTTGACATTTGGTGGACCATATTTTGCTTTTGGTTGCAAAGATGTCTACACCTTTTAAATGTGTATCTTGATAGCGAAGAATCTAATAGCCTATGGCCATGAAGTAGTTTGTTGGATGGGTAAGTCTTTTGTGGAGGAGGAATTTGATGGGTAGTCCTCTTTTGGGGAAGAGCAAGTGTCTAGCGTAAAATGTTGAAGCTTCTACTCGGGGAAGGCAGCTCATCTAATTCTTCTTCTTCTTCCTTCTTTATTATAAAAGAAATATATATGACTTTAATACTCTGGGAAGCAAGACCACCTCTTACTTGTTCTTTGCTGGTTAAGTTCTTCCTTCTTGGATTACTTGGGTATGTGGAAACTTGTTGAGGTTTTCAGTATTAGTTGCTCAATTCCTTTTGTTTGTGTAGTTTGCTTATTATTCGCTTTTCTTATGTTAAGGGTCACTGGTCTTCAAGGGTTTTTTCTCATTGGTTTATACTATATGTCTCCAACCTTTTTATCAGCGCTACAAAACTCAGTTCCAGCAATTACTTTTGTCATGGCTTCAGCTTTGGGGTAATTATTCAAGGACTTCAGAATTTCCCAAGTCAATAAATTTTTGTGGTTGTTTATGAAAGTTGTCTTCTAAAACTTCTTTGATCTCTCTCTCTCTCTCTCTCACACACACACACACACACAGGTTTGAGCAAGTTAATATCTTAAGAAGAGATGGGTTGGCAAAAGTGGTAGGAACCATTTTAAGTATAGGAGGTGTAACCATTATTACTCTCTACAAGGGCCCTCCTCTGAACTTCTTACAGCACTCACAGAGGAAATCAGCATGGGCTTGTATTCAATGGAAGTGAAGAATTGGGTATTGGGTTGTCTTTATGTACTTGGGCCATATCTGGTTCTATGTTGGAATGGACTTGGGCCTAGGCTTATTTGGTATTGGATTTGGGTGAGGCTTAAATTGGATGATTACTAAAATATATAAAAATAAAAAAGATTATGAGAGAAATATGGTTGGCTGGCTTGTCCTCTAGTGGTCATATTGGCTGTTTTTTTTTTTATCTGTGCATTTCTCTCGAAGTAGAGTACTTAAATTCTTTACAACTTTGAGTTTGGATCAAAAGTAAAAGCTCTGTTTTTTTTTGTTGGAAAGTTTTTTAATTTTTGCTCCACTATAGAAGAGTTTCTTTAATCAATTAAATAACTGCAAACTAAGTAGAAGCCACTAGAGTATTTTAAATTTTAAAATAAATAGGAAGTTATCCAATTGGCCATTTCCTGATGGTTAGTAGAAAGCTGATGGTTTTATCACTGATGTTCCTGTCCCATAGTAGAACCCTAGCAAGCTCAACCAGTCTATCTTCAAGAGCCATTGGACTGGTATCATTTGTGACACTTTTAACTTTTTTCTATAGCTGAAAATGATTTCTTTTGTGTGCCTACTCTAAAACTACTTTGTCTGTGGTTGATGACACAGATTTCATGTACCCTTGCTACAATTCATAATAATGAATACCATTTTTATTAAAAGAAAGAGGTAAAGGGAGACATTACTAGATCTACTTGCTAACACCTCAGCACCACCATTACTCACACAATGACACATTGCAAGATTATGCATACACGGAGGAGAGGGATAATGGAATAAGGTACAACCTTTGTGACCAAAACTGTGCCACAAGGGCACATTGTTCAAACCACCGCTTCTACCATTGTGAAGCAAAATTGGCTTAGAACTGAGCTCCTAAAATACATGGATAGCAGTTATAAGGTTTACAATTTGCAAATATTTTGATGGGTTGAAGGCATGAGTTGAATGTCTCATATATAGGGCAAAAGAGTGGGAGTTTTTCACTCCTAGTTAATTTGGAACTTTCCCACTCCCTCTATTTGTAATAATTTGTGAAAACATTTTTCCAACATCCAATGTCACAATACTCATCCACTCATGAGTTTATATTAAATGAATATTCATTTCCTCTTTGACTAGATAAGGTCACTTTATCTTCAAAAAAAAACACATATAATACACCTCTTTTTTAATTTCCCTTTCCCAGTTTTCTCCTCCCTCACTTTTCTATCTATGCCAAGTGCCAACATACAACTTGTATACCCCATTTTCTTTCATCCTTCCACTTCTCACACACATATAACTTATACACAAATATTTCATATGTATACATGTGAATAGATATGTTTATGCATACACATGACACACATTTAACTCCAAAAAGTTACATATATCTACATATATCAAATTTAAATCTCCTAGGAACTTGCTCCTGCTACATGAATTGGTCATTTAAGGTACAGTAATAATAAAAATTATGTTCACACAAGAGCATGAGGCGTTAGCAAAAAAGAAAGTATCACCTGCAATCCCAAAGACCTTGGCAACAAATGTGAGGCCTCTAGTGGTGCGGTTGCCTTTGTTGATGCGTTGAAGAAAGCTCTTAACTTCATGTTGTGAGTAGACAACCGTATCTTCACTGATATTGAGTTCCAAAGGCTCACATCTATCTGTTTTCAAAACTCAAAAGAATTGTTTGTTTCTGTCGCTCCCAATGAGATAAAACCTCTGCTCAAACCAAAACCACATCACCAAAATTTCCAAAATTATGAAAAGGAAAACATAAGCACGTAGTAGAAATAAGCAAAAAATGATGAAATTCAAAAATCATTACTTGACGAGTTTCATAGAGTTTAAATTTCTCAAGAGAACATGAGTGCACATCAAAATCTTAGTCGTTCGCCGAATCATGAATGAACGAAGTTAGGGTTTGCGAATTGAGCTTTGAACTCTCCAATTTTGCCATGAAATTGATTGAATATGAGCTTGAAACACCTAAAGCGTCGCTACTTTGTGTCTCTCATGCATTTTCCACCTTTTCCAATTGACTGAGAAAAATAGAGGAAGGAGAGCATGGTTGGTTTATATGGAGATGGTGACTTGTATAAAAAAAATAGTCAAAATATTTCCAAAAAGATACACTCCCATGGCTATCCTACGCACTCGCCATCATTTAATCTCATTGCCACCACCTCCATCACCCATTGCCACTGCAAAAGGATCATGATCAACAATAGTCAACGATAAGGTCCTATAGGAGTACCTTGAGAGGACACTTCAAATCCCTGATCTAACACTACCGGAGTTTTGCTTTTAGGAGAACACTGAATCCCTTCAAGGGTTGATCTCCGGTCGTTAATATCAAACTACGAGGATTCAGTTCAATTAGGAATAGGAATTTTGGTCAACAAATTACGATCCATGATGGTAGAAACGAAATGTGTTTTTGAGATCCCGATAAAGAAAAGAATTATAAATCAAAACTTTTAAAGGGACACGGGAAAGGGCACAAGGAATTGAATGAAGTGTCATAAATTGTGGTTAATATCAAAAATGCCCTTACTGCCATGAAATACAATATAGAGGCATTAATAAAGTGCTTCTACATAAAGTTGTTTGAACTATCACCGTTGGCTTTCTAGAGAGGCACTTTTATCAAATGCCTATGCCATAAAGCCTCTAAATATAAAGCTTTCTAGTAGTGAAGGTGTTAGGCACCCCTTTCTCCAAACTATTATAGTAGTCTAATATAAGAGTTGTTCAAGCTCAATTTCTAATAAAACACCACTGAAAATAGTTGCTCAAAGTTCCTAAATATAAGGAAAAAACGCTCTCAATTTCACCTAGAATTGATTTTAGGTGACATTATCGGGTCTTACGTACTGATTTCCCTAAGACCCTCACCTCTCTACCTCTTTTTCTCAATCTAGAGAAAACTAAGAACATAAGTTTCCATGGTTTCAAGACTTTAAGCAACCCAAAGCTAAACTGAGAACAGAGATTACAAATTCAAGTTCAAATGTTAAAATGAGAGACTTACCTCTCGTGTACAACATTGACAGGAGTTTTTCAACAGTCGAACTAAATAAAAGAGTGGTTGGATGAACTCGAAAGATGTTAGAAACTATTGAATGCTTGGAGGTTTCGTGCAAATTTGAAGTTTGAAACATAATAGAATGAATTTGGAATTTTGGATTCAAATGCTTGGGGGTTTTCTCGCGAACAGGGCACCTACGGGAGTTGGGGATGCTTCTTGAATCTCTCCTTTCTTTTTTCCCTGTTTCTTCTCTGAGCTCAAGTTAGATTAGTATTTATAGAGAAATGAAGGGGGAGAGTCCTGAAATTCATCCAATCACAAGGCTTGGTCTTTAAGAAAACTTTTACAAGAGAATAGGGAAGGATTTTCAAAGAAAATGGTGATCAATCAACTTTTTTCTCTTTGGTAAAAGATTATCTTCGATTTGGGGGTGGTTTTTATGGGTTTTGTGCATCCAATGGGAGCTTGGGCATGCCTGCCATAGCAGTATTGTATTTGGGGTTGTCAGTGGCAAAAAATGTAAATTTAATGAACTTTTAAATGTAAATTTAATGAACTTTTAAATGTTGTTTTGTCTTTTCTCAGTTTTAATTGAGGGTATATTTGGGTTTTGGGGCTTTTTGAGTCTATTAGGCTTAATTTAATCGGTCCAGGTGTTTGAACAGGTCAAGAATGGGTTTGACATCAGCCATCTCCCTTTTGAGATTTCAAGTTGGGACAAATGAGGTGACGATTTAATTTGGTGCGTCGAAATGACATCTTCCTAGTTTAACGATCAAACGGGTGAATTAGGACATCAAATTTGACATACTGAGGTTTTTTGAGTCTTTGAAAACAATGGTGATGACTGATTGACCTAATAGGGTCAAAATGATGGAAATGTATGGCTAGCAAATTCGGATCAACGAGATTTGTTGAAATAGAATCTTTGCTTGGTTTGGGTCTAGGTTCTAGCCAATGGTTTATCAATCAACGAAAGGTCTTAAAATGGAATCCCACTTTTTTTAATAGTTAAATGGAGGAGTTTGGTCATGAAATTTTATGTATTAAGGTTTTTTGGGTTTCTAAACATAGTGATGAGGTCTGATCAGTCAAATGAAATTGGGATGATGAATGATAAACTTTAATTAATGAGATTTGCAGAAATTAGGATTTGGCTTGATTGTGGATCAAACGGGGGAATTTTAAGCTGAAATTTAGTGGGTAGGTATAGATTAAGGTAAGAAGTCAAGTGGATGGTTTTGATTTGAGAAAGAAATACTTGATCTTGGTTTTCTAGAACTAGTTGTGTAAGGCCGTCAAAATGGATTTTTAATGCTTTTGAGGTTAATCGTTGTAGACTTGTAATGGGATTCGCTAGTTGATTGTATCATAATGATCTTGAGGCGATGGATTCATTGGATCAGGACCGTTATAAAGGAAGTTGGCATAATGAATGGTGGATGTGTGACTGATTTATAGTTTTCTAAGTCTATAGGCCATATTTGGTTGGACATTGATGTTGATATTGAGGTTTCCATTTGTCATATGGGTTGTGTTAGAAGAAGGAGTTTTTTTGTTTTGTAAAGTCTCAATTTGAACTAGTTGTGTTTGGAAGTTTGGGGTCTAGGAGTAGAGTACAAAGAGGTATAGTGAAGGAATCGAGCAAAATTTGGGTGCTAACAGCTGCCCCTCTTTGTTGAAGGTAGCAAGTTGCAGTACAACAAAGAAAAAGAAGCACATGGAGATTCTTGTAAGGGACAACAGGTTAGGGGAGGAAATTTTGTTGTTGGAATTTCAGTCAATGTTGAAATTGATGTAGTGCAAGGCCTTTGCTTGGAAAGTATAGTACCACCCCAAGCCCTGGAGGCAATTGCAATTGTCAAACAAACACATGAAGAACACAGTGGTGTCATCCCAAAAATAGCTAGTATTAGTTGATAATTAATGTGTCAATTTGAAGGATTTAATAAAGTTTAGAAATTTGTTATTTGATGCAGCTTGTTAAGTTTTTATGGATTTTGATGTTAATGTGTCAATTTGAAGGATTTGATCATCCCATACTGCCACATATTAGGAGCAAAAGATTTTTATAATGTACTATATGAGTGGAAAAGCTATCACTTGATTTGCCTGGAGGCAACCCACACGAGGAAAAATATTTTTACATTTCTTTGATGGATTTGATTATGCCTAATGAATTTAGATGGACTTTGATTAATTGTTGTTGGCTTTTGATGAATTTTGATGGATTTTGATGAATTTTGGTAAATTTTGATATTTGATGATTTCTTTTGATGAACTTGACATTTGACTAGTTGATAATTTTTTAATATATTTTTTATACACAGTAGGTCAATTTGATAGGTTCGATGATTTGATGAGTTGATTTGATAATTTTGATAATTTTGATATTTGACGAATTTGATAATTTTGATGATTTGATTAGTTGATTTGATGAATTTAGTAACTTAGTTAATTTAGATATTTGATGAGTTGATTTGATAAAATTGATATTTGACGAACTTGATATTTGATGATTTAGATCATTTTGATGAATTTGATAGTTTCGATCTTTGATAATTTTGATTATTTGGTGAATTTTATATTTGGTGATTTTGATAATATTGATGAATTTGATAATTTTGATCTTTGATGAGTTGATTAGATAATTTTGAATTTTGATGGATTTGATTATTTAAAGAATTTGATATTTGATAGCTTTGATCAAATTCGATAGTTTTGAGATTCGAGAAATTTGATACTTGGTGAATACGATAATTTTGATTTTTTGATTAGTTGAACTTGACAATTTTGATAACTTTAATAATTGATGATTTTGATAATTTTGAGATTTGATGACTTGGTTTGATAATTTTGATATTTGATGATTTGATTCTTTTGATGAATTTGATTATTTAATGAATTTGATAATTTTGATGAATTTTATATTTCATGCTTTTGATGAATTTGATAATTTTGATATTTGATGAATTTGATATTTGATGATATTTGATAATCTTGGAATTTGATGATTCAATGATATTTGATAATTTTGATATTTGATGATTTGATGACTTTTGATAATTTTAATGATTTGATTAGTTGAACTTGACAATTTTGATAACTTTGATATTTGATGATTTTGATATTTTTTGATGAATTGAATATTTGATGATTTTAATAATTTTGATATTTGATGATGTTGGATGAGTTTGATGATATTCAATGATTTGATGATTTTGATGCATTTGATAATTTTGATATTTGATCATATTTGGTGATTTGATGACTTTGATAAACTTTATGTTTGATGATATTTGATGAATTTGATAATTTTGATGATTTGATGATTTTGATATTGAATGATATTTGATAGTTTTTATGTTTGATGAATTTGATACTTTTGATATTTGACGGTTTGATGAATTTGGTAATTTTGATATTTTATGGTATTTGATATTTTTTATATTTGATGAATTTGATAATTTTGATATTTGATTTGATGTTTTGATGGTATTTGATAAATTTGATAATTTTAATGGTTTGATGATATTTGATGCTTTTGATGAATTTGATCATTTTGATATTTAGTTATTTGGTGATATTTGATAATTTTGATGATATGATGATATTTGATGATTTTTATGAATTCGACATTTAATGCTTTTGATGAATTTGATGATATTTAGTGAATTTGATAATTTTGATGATTTGATAAAATTGACATTTCATGATTTGATGATATTTAATTAATTTGATAATTTTGTTATTTAATGATATTTGATTATTTGATAATTTTGATTTTTGATGATTTTGATATTTGATGTTTTTGATAAATTTGGTAATTTTGACATTTGAGGTTAACACCCCGAGACCTGGCCTATATTAGATCCCTTTATTGTACTCCCAACGAGTACGAGATGAAGTATCTTGGAATAAGTGAGAGGGCCACCTCAGCTCAGCCAAATGAAATCCCCATCTATGAGCACAGCCTGATAGTCAGGCTGAGGTTCCCCTTGAATACTAGCATCTCGACGATGCTGAGGTGGTATTGCATCCAGCCCATTCAACTCATGCCCAACTCCTTTAGGTATTTAGTTAGCCTCCTCTACTATTGTACCATTCATGACATGGACATTACCCTGTTGATGTTCACTTACTTCCTACACCTAAAGTAGCACCAATAGGACTATTGTTACTTCTCGACTTGGCAGAACAATAAGAGCCCCCTCCTCGGTGAAGCACTAGAAAGAGGGGTTCTTCTACGTACGCCGTCAAGGGGGCTAGTCGCTCCCTGCTGAGTTGTCAATCTCGAAGACCAAAGTGAAGATGTCAATCGAGGCCAAGCTATCTAGGGAGGAGTAGGCGGCCATCTAGTGGATAGTGAGGGTGGATGTACAAGAGTACACCTCGTCCATGATGTT